TATTCATCTCTCCTCATCATCACCATTCCCTTGCACCATCAGAATATCAAAAGCTCCACCTATTCATCAACAATAAACCTCAGTCTGCAGACAAACGATCACTGCTTCGTGATCAGTACAAGTACAATAATATAATTGTTGGACCAAATGGTACTCTAGATCGTAGGACAACACTGGTGCGTTCAACATTGCCCAATCACCGAGCTTCATCTGATGAACTTTTACCGGCAATAATTCGAGACAATACTCGAACAGCTTACGAGTCGAATGGCCAAGATCAGCAAGAATCACAGAAGCCTCAAAACCAGAGTCACAAGGAGCTTCAAGCTTCATCATCTTTATCAGCATCTTCATCATCATCTTCCTCTTCATCATCACCCTCATCAACTTGCAATCTTCCAACCACTCGACTTAATATTCCAGTTTCACCTCGATCGCCTCAAAGATCTCTAGGTTCTTCATCTTCACACAAGCCAAGTAAATCCAACAAATCTAAAACTGTGTTTGCCAAATTAAAAGGAAATCAAATTGTTAGCACAACGGGGGCAGTTAATGGTGACCATTGTTGACCGCTCAATCAATCAATTTTCCAGTAAACTCAAAATTTTAATGAATGTACAACTAATTTAAAACTTTTCTCTTTAAACCAAAACAATTTCCAAATCAAGCTCGCTGGTCTTTTCGTTAAGCTCTTCAATGGATGATAATTCACATTCCCAATTGAAATGTTTTTTACACTCGGACCAAGCAAGACGAGTTTCAACACCGATCAATTGCGATAAAAATGTTTCTGTCAAAATGGCTCAACAATTTTTTACAAAAAAATTATTAATGTAATTTCAAATTATTTGATAATTTAAAAATGTCCAAATCTACTTCTTTTTGTCATCTAATTTTGTAAAATATATAAAAATGAAATTTGTTAACATAAAAGTCAATCCTAATAACAAGCTAATTATACTGGTGAGAAGCTCTGATTTCAGGATTAAAAGGATTTTCTTAAATACATAACTCCGCTTGAGGAGGCTCTTCAAAAGTCTGAATCTTGAACCTGAATATGAATATTATGAATGCTTATTATGCTTGTTTTCACGCCAATTGTCCATAGCGTGATAAATCATATTTTAAGTTTCGATTAAACTCTTTGGGTTAATTAAAGTTGAGTTTATCGAACAAAAAAACTAAAAGCTATTTTTATTCCAATGAACTTGCTGACAGCTCGTAATTAACAAAATTCTGTGTTTCCAGTGCTCAAGATAGAAAAACAAAATCTCAGATTGGCCATCATAAAATGGTTCATAATACCAATTGATTGGTTGACCTGCTGAAAACCATAAGGTTCTCATATTGATGATCAAGTAAAGGATCACCATTTTTTATTATTACTCTTATGTCGCTGACAAAGGCACTGCTGTTAAGTTAGAATATTGTGAACAAGTTTTTACTGGTAATTGTGGATTAAGTAGATTAATTTTATTCTTGCGCAAATCTGGCGTCAACTCTGGTAATAAAGTTTTACGCGTGTTGACAGCATCTTTATTTGGATCAATTGGACACGAATAACAATCGCTAATTATATGACTATTAGATGTAAATTTTTGCATTAAGTAAGACCATTTATTAAGAAGTATTTATCTTAGAAATTAGACCCTGCAAATTTTAGCTGAAATGAAAACTTATGCAAATCAAATAAACTGGTGAATAGATGAATTTTCTAAGCCATCAGCTTGCAAAATTGGATAAAAGTGATGCTCAGAAATTCCGCATACAAGTCAGAAACTAAATGTACATTAAGCTTCAATTTATCGTAAAATTTTACTACACTTTTGATTCAAGATATTTTTACAATTTTTTAGTTAAAAACGAATCCTTTGAAGATGTCAGTACTTTTTCATCGATTACATTGTTTTGTATTCCATTTCTAATCACCATCATAGTTGATACCGATTTCCAAAATTTCATAATTACTAAAATTTGCGATAATTAATTCTATTGTATGTTTTTTTCATCTTTTCTGTAGATTCAATCTTTTCGTATGATATTATTTGGTTTTCCTCATCCAAGAAAATTGGGTTTTTATACTTCTCTTCAATAATTTTCAAAAGGACTGGCAAATGTTCTGGTTTCTCATTTAAACGCAACGCCCACCAAGTGCAGAAGGCGACACACACCTTTGGGCTTAAGATAAGATAACGTTTAACTGTGTTTGCGCCATAACAGCAACCAACGCAAACTGTTGATGCCCCTTCGCGATTTTGATACTTGAATCTACTATTATCGAAGAAACTGTAATGGTGTGAATCATCTCGTTTAATTCTATCAGCTACAGTGAAAGTAGGTTCTTCTTCGATTTCCATTTCAATAATTTTACTAGTTGAATCACCACTGTAATTGGAATAAGTAGATTCCTCGCTGAAAATTTCATCGTCAATGAAACAAAACTTTTGTCTTTTGAATTCATCAATCGTCTTCTCGATTTTTTTCCAATCGGGAGGCTTATTTGCCTGTGAACTAAGGAGTTCAAGTTGCGTAGCATTTTCAAAATTTTTTGAATAGCTGAAGACAAATTATTCGCTTTTGGTATTTCGAAGCGAGACAAACTCATGTTGTTCAAAAAGGCCAAAAATTCGCCATTCTCATGTAACTGTTTTTCAAATTCTTTCGTAATTAAGCTTTTAGCATCGACAATTAAACCTAGATTCTTCATTGAACAATGCAACTGAGTAAGATAGCAATCTACAGTTCCGGATTCTAACGTTCGATTATAATGATTTGCTATGAACAAATACTTAGCAAAATTGTAACTGAAAGTACTCAACAAATCATTGAGGCGGCGGTTTACCTTTTCTGGCATATACTTGTTGAAATTAGGATAACGGCTGAAAATTTCGCGAAAATTCACATCTGCTGCACAGTCTGAATCGACACAATTCCGTTTATATGCTGCTAAAACAAACGGGACAAACGTTTCATACATTGAAACGATTTTGTGGTAGGTGTGTGGGCATTTGTAATGATGCAGTCCAAGTTTCTCCATAAAATTGTGCCCGTGGCAATGATATGCCTTGTCTGTGTAATGTAAAATTTTGTCGTAGTTCTTTTTAATTGCGCATAATAATGGCAGAAAAATTCTATTTTCCTTTGAAAGTATCATTTCGCTATGCAGCTTTTCTAAAGAATCAGTATTGACAAATTTAACGTAGGCGAGAACTGTGCGTAAATCATCATCTTTTTCTGCATCCAGTTTACCAAGTAAAAAGCTTAACTTTTTATAATCTTGTAATTGGAGCGTTAGTTTGGGATTTACCAAATCTTGTGTTTCCAAAACGAAGTATAATAAAACAAATAGATCCAATTCTCCATCGTACAATGGTCCGTAATAATTATTTTTGCCAGAATCGATCATCCGCCATTCTTTGCTTTTCCATATCAATCTACGATTGCTCGTCATCTTTTCCAGCTTTTTTGTCTTTTTATATTTTCTGCATTCGATGAAATGCTGCATAGCATCTTCATAACATCTTGGAACAAGACCCAGTAAAAGAACATGGTTTTTTGGATTGGTATAGTGATTGTAAACATCGAACTTTATTCCGTCTGAATTTGCTCTTGAAACATCAGAAATCTTTTTGGAATAAGTAGATTTGCAGAACAAAGACTCGTCGGTTATATCAGAAATTTTTACCATATGCTTTTGAACATTTTGGTTGTAACAAATATATCGTCCGCTATCTTCCAAATCATAATATAGCGTCTTTCTTAATTTTCTTTCATCCATATAAACAAATTCTGTTTTAATGCTTTTAAATCTTTTTGAGCGAGGCCGAGGCAACGGGATATCTAGTGAATATTTTGATCCTTCTCTTTTAAAGTTCCAATCATCTGGCATTTCCGGTAATTCTTGAGGCACAATGATTTCTTCGTGAGTTTTTTCGACCACGAAACCTTTTGGTTGCATTTGTATTCCATTGTCAAATTCATCAACCTCCATGGGACGAGGCGTGGCAGGTGGCGTTGGCTGCGAGGACTCATTAGCCATTCTTCATAAATTCTTTGGGCCATAGCTTCACTATAAGATACTGTTGACTGAATTGAATTGTCCAGATTATAACAGAATCTGCTGTTTGAACTACAATACACTTTTGGTGATAAATGGCACGTCATTAAATCAAGGTTTGATAATCAATTCATCAAATTAGCTGCATAATTTCGTATAATTTTAATTTGAACAATGGAAGTTATCTAGAGATATATGACCAGGAATATTTGTTGTCAATTTGGAATAAAAGAAAAACCACTGTATTTAAACAGCTAGATAAACACTTTATTTACAACACTTTAAAGACCAAGAATTGTTTCATATTTCAATAATACGATGAACATATGTAGAAAGGATTGATCTGTAATTTTCAATAGAAAGAGTATATGATAGGAGATTAATCACAAGGAATACGGCTGGTTTGATTAGTTTTGCTCTGTCTATTGATAAGATTAAGAGTAGTTTGGTTTTCTTGAGTGTTCCATTGATTGATTGCTTGTTTTATGACTGATTATCACAAATGTTAGAGAAGGTATTGGATTAAGATAATGAAAAAACTATTAAAAGTCTTATTCAATCGCAAAAAAACTGATGCATTTCTGTCTACCTAGGCCCCTCATTGAGTCTTAAATTATTGTCAAGACTGTCGATCGTGATTATCATTTCAGAAGTTGAGAGGATATTTATCATCTGTTTTTGTCTTTTCATAATCAATTTTTTCTGACAATTATGTAACTCAAATCTTTTAGCGATGCTGCGCTGAATTTATGGATATTTGATTTAAATTCAGCCATGTTAGTTGACTGGCGTGAAATTACAAATGCCAGCTTGTAGCGACTTTTGATCACAATTTAGGTAGTTTTGTGACTTCTGCTTTGAAAGAATCAGCAACTGAGCCTAAAGCATGTTCAATCACTCGAAAGTAATCAATGATCACTAATCATTGTCACTATCTGATTAGTTTTGCTTCTTTGCATCATAGTCTATAAGATAATGCTACCCTTTTTACCGGCTTCAATGTGCTTCAAGAGTTTGCATTTTCACCTTTCAATATTTGGTCAATGATAAAGTTAGACGTGAATATGTTCGGGTTGTGTCTCGATGTCATTGGTTATCCTGGTTATGCTGTCAACTGTGACGGAATTTGGTGCTCAATTTGACGGAGAAAAGGTTGCCTCTTCAAGTCCAGCAGAAAAACCAACTTTCTTTCATCCCTCAGAATCTTCACCTCACCAGTCTTCATCCCTTATCCAAGGTACTTTGGGCACTTGTTCCACCAAGCCTTCATCTTCTGGTTCTTCGGCTGGTGGCAGTATAATGCCTCAAGGAATACCAATGTCTTGTCCCTATCCAGATACTTCATGTTATCCTGAATCAGAAAAACCAATGATTGGTCCTGAATCAGCTCAATTGCTATCCTCGGGACGCAAATCAACTGGTGTATCAGGATCGGGTTATGAAGAGATGAGTCGTCTTTATGACCATTCAATGGATACCGATTTAGAAATGGAAACTCGTGCATTGATGGAAGGATTATCACACTCGGATGCCACAACGGGACCGATGAGACCAATTATCATGAAAAGTGACGTTTCTCTGACTCGTATTCCGTGTGAACATTTGTATGAATGTATACCAGATGATTCCAACTATCACCATGTTCATGGGAACAATTTTTTACACTCAAGTGCTTTAACAGGCTCACCGAGTCAATTTCAGGGTTCCACTTATTCACAAAACTCTTACCATCAATATCACCAGCCATTATCATCTTCTCATCATAATCATCATTCAACTTTAAACTCTTAAACAACCCATCCAAATCATCATCACTCATCACATTATTCATCTCATCCCCATCATCATCATTCCCTTGCACCATCAGAATATCAAAAGCTCCACCTATTCATCAACAATAAACCTCAGTCTGCAGACAAACGATCACTGCTTCGTGATCAGTACAAGTACAATAATATAATTGTTGGACCAAATGGTACTCTAGATCGTAGGACAACACTGGTACGTTCAACATTGCCCAATCACCGAGCTTCATCTGATGAACTTTTACCGGCAATAATTCGGGACAATACTCGAACAGCTTACGAGTCGAATGGCCAAGATCAGCAAGAATCACAGAAGCCTCAAAACCAGAGTCACAAGGAGCTTCAAGCTTCATCATCTTTATCTGCATCTTCATCTTCATCAACTTGCAATCTTCCAACCACTCGACTTAATATTCCAGTTTCACCTCGATCGCCTCAAAGATCTCTAGGTTCTTCATCTTCACACAAGCCAAGTAAATCCAACAAATCTAAAACTGTGTTTGCCAAATTAAAAGGAAATCAAATTGTTAGCACAACTGTTAAATTTTGGGTGCTTTTACTTCAAGATGATTTCAATTATAATCATGTTTAACAATTTTTCTCATTCACACATTTTGTTTTGCAGATCGAATTCACTGATAAAAAAAGCTACACCTATTCATCAACAATAAACCTAATTCTGCAGACAAACGATCACTGCTTCTTGATCAGTACAAGTACAATAATGTCATTGTTGGACCAAATGGTACTCTAGATCGTAGGACAACACTGGTACGGTCAACATTGCCTAATAACTGACTTTCGCCTGATAAACTTTTGCTGGCAATAATTCGAGAGAATGATCTCACAACGAATGAAACGTAAATAACACGAACAACGAACGTAAATCAGCAAAACTGTGTTTGACAAACAAACTGAAATCAAACTCGGACAAAACTGTAGCATTTAATGGTGACTTTTTTCAACCGTTTTTCAAATAAATTTGTCTGTTACCTGTTGTATTGAATGTATTGGTGAATCAAAATGGTCCATCAGCTGGTAAATCATACCGAAAATTATTATTGAAATCATAATTTAAAAGCTATTCAAATCTTCTTGTTATCCATGTAAAATATATAAAACTGAGATTTGTTGACAAACTTATCTCATGATTAATCTTAGACATCAGATTGTATGATAATATTCAACGGTTTATCATTGATACACGATAATTAAGCATTTTCCAAATGTCAGGTTGAGCCACAGAAATCATTCGGAGGCTTTAGGTTTGCTTTCTGCCTTAGTAAACAAAAATTGAACAAACATTTTGGAAAAATTTGCACACCGATTGTACATGAACCTCAAACCAAGATCCTTAGATAGATCAACACAGGCATTATTTTGCTTTTCAAATTGCATTGCCATTTAGCGATAAAATCTACCTAAACTATATCTTTAATAATTACAAGTGTATGAGATATGGAAAAAGGTAGGATAAAAAGAGCAAGATGAACATTAATTGGCTCATATTTACTATTTATCTGTATAAATACTTGCGTTATTCAACTTCACCAGATAACATTTAATTTTACCTATTCGTGGTTCACTTCAATTCAGTAATTTGTTACCTTGGAGTTATTTTGCGATTATCCTGATTTGAATGAAAAGCCAGCTATTGATTTATACTTTTGGTAAGATTATAAACGTTTTTAACCCAATTTTCCATCGTTTGAATGAAGTTTGAAATTGTATCAACAGCCGTTTTTTCTAGTTATTGACTAAGTGAATCTAAGTGTTTTTCATTTCATGGAAAAATGTTTCAATCTGGAAAATACCAACTGTGTTGTGAGTTACATACGATTCGCAGTTGATTCGACAATGAATACGATTATATTGATACTTAAATGTGTACTTCTGGCAATATTTGGTTGATTTACCTTGTTGAGCGTCTTTAACCGTCAATACTAAATTGTGAAAATATAATACTATGAAAAGTACATTATATTACATTACGTGTATATTAAACTCTAAACTTGTAAAATCTTGAATGATGTATGTTGATATAGCTGCTAGTGAATGGAGTTGGACCCGAAGCAATTTCGATGAATCAATTCAAGATTAGTTAACTAATTTAGTTATATTACTTTTCAACTATAACTTTTGATTTTAAACAATGAAAGAATTACTGCTATGTCAATTATACGATACAGGTTAAATCAGCACATATTGATTAGCTAATCAAGTTCAGTAAATTGAAGCCGGTTGAGTCAAAAAATGGCCCACATGAACTTATATTAATGCTTTTGTATCTCTGAAATGATTATGTCAATCGAATAGTCCGAACAAATTTAAAATTGGAGCTTAATCATTAGTAAAAAACGACAGAGATTTTTGATACGGCCAATCATTGTTAGTCTATCTACTTTACAGTCGTTAAATTGTAAGAGTTCTTTGCACAATTGTCATCAAACTTCGTAATAATCATACGACGAAGATGAACTCAAGATCATCATCTGTTTTATACTCGTATTCAATCTTTAAGTTGACTTGAAACATGGGAGATTTTTATAATTCTGATCTTGGATAAAAATGTTCATTTTTTATTGTACCCACAAACTTTATCAGAGTTGTGAACCAATATTTAATGATGTCACAGGTATTGTCGTTACCCGAAAGCATGGTTTTGATGATTTTCAATTTCTATTGCGCTATCGAAACTTTCATCAGATTGTGTGTTGCATTCTGTGTTGCAGGTCGCTAATCAAAATTTAATGGTGATTTAACATTGTAAAGCGAATAAAGTGGAAGTTATTATAAGCACTTATTGATATTCCGTATTGCTCTTATGGGTCACTTGTTGATTTAAATTTTAATGAAAATTTTCTTGTTCAAATCGACATAAGGTGAAAAGTTCACTATTCTTAGGTTAAATAGGCATGAATATGAATAATCACATAATTGAATGGGAACTGAGTACTGTATATAAATGTTATTTCACCATAACTGATAGTACTAGCATGATACCAATCATGGTAAACCTTAAAAAATGCAGTGTAATAAGAGCCGAGTAGTGTAATAACATCCATAGTTGATAAAGAGGAAACAGTTACTAAATCGCAAGATTATCAACAGCAAATAAACGGTTATTGTATGGAAAAAATCAATCATTTGATCTGTTCTAATGTTTGGTTTACCATTATTTACAGTTTGATTTTCATTGAGTCTTTAATTATGCTTACATAAGTTCATCATGCTAATGATTAGTTGATATAATGTTGATGCATTCATATTGAATTATTATATTTTCGGGGTTTTTAAAAGATCTGCGATCTTCTAGAAAGTCATTTGTAAAAGTTGCTTCAGTTTTATTCGATTTTTTTAAATACAATGTGCTTATCTTATCCAATTTGCTTCTTTGACAGGCAAACCAGGTCTTTGAGAGTAAAAAGACAAGTTTCCTTTTTTTATCTCTTTTCGGTCTAATTCAATTCTTACAGATGTTCTTAATGGTAAATACACATTTGATCAGGAATCCAGTAGTTTATCGTCTTGGAATGAAAGTTGCACGATCATCGGATATTTTGCGGAACTTTAGTGACATGTTAGGCTAACAGTTATGTTTTCTATGACGCAAAATACTTCTAACAAGCACAAACAAAAATCACAACATAATATTCATAATACATGCATGTTTGGGATGTCTAAATCTCATTGGCTATGCTGCCAACTGTATGCTCAATTAGACAGAAAGAAATTTGAGAAAAAATTGCCTCGAGTCCAGCAGAAAAACCAACTTTCTTCCATCCCTCAGAATCTTCACCTCACCAGTCTTCATCCCTTATCCAAGGTACTTTGGGCACTTGTTCCACCAAGCCTTCATCTTCTGGTTCTTCGGCTGGTGGCAGTATAATGCCTCAAGGAATACCAATGTCTTGTCCCTATCCAGATACTTCATGTTATCCTGAATCAGAAAAACCAATGATTGGTCCTGGATCAGCTCAATTGCTATCCTCGGGACGCAAATCAACTGGTGTATCAGGATCGGGTTATGAAGAGATGAGTCGTCTTTATGACCATTCAATGGATACTGATTTAGAAATGGAAACTCGTGCATTGATGGAAGGATTATCACACTCGGATGCCACAACGGGACCGATGAGACCAATTATCATGAAAAGTGACGTTTCTCTGACTCGTATTCCGTGTGAACATTTGTATGAATGTATACCAGATGATTCCAACTATCACCATGTTCATGGGAACAATTTTTTACACTCAAGTGCTTTAACAGGCTCACCGAGTCAATTTCAGGGTTCCACTTATTCACAAAACTCTTACCATCAATATCACCAGCCATTATCATCTTCTCATCATAATCATCATTCAACTTTAAACTCTTAAACAACCCATCCAAATCATCATCACTCATCACATTATTCATCTCATCCCCATCATCATCATTCCCTTGCACCATCAGAATATCAAAAGCTCCACCTATTCATCAACAATAAACCTCAGTCTGCAGACCCCTTGGGGCCGAGAATCTTATCAATGAATGTCTCCAATGTAGTTTTCTAACAAACTTGTACCAGTTTTGTTGTATTAATGTGCTGAACTGGTATTAGTGCAATATACTTTTCACAAAACAATGGCTCTCCTATAAAAAAGTGGTATAAGTACAATAATATAATTGTTGGACCAAATGGTACTCTAGATCGTAGGACAACACTGGTACGTTCAACATTGCCCAATCACCGAGCTTCATCTGATGAACTTTTACCGGCAATAATGCGGGACAATACTCGAACAGCTTACGAGTCGAATGGCCAAGATCAGCAAGAATCACAGAAGCCTCAAAACCAGAGTCACAAGGAGCTTCAAGCTTCATCATCTTTATCTGCATCTTCATCATCATCTTCCTCTTCATCATCACCCTCATCAACTTGCAATCTTCCAACCACTCGACTTAATATTCCAGTTTCACCTCGATCGCCTCAAAGATCTCTAGGTTCTTCATCTTCACACAAGCCAAGTAAATCCAACAAGTCTAAACTGTGTTTGCCAAATTAAAAGGAAATCAAATTGTTAGCAGAACGGGACCAGTTAATGGTGATCATTGGTGACCGCTCCATCAATTTTTCAGTAAACTCAGAATTTTAATAAATGTACAACTAATTTAAAATTTTTCTTCAAACCAAAACAATTTTCCAAATCAAGCTCGCGTGGATTTTGCAAAATTTGTCATACTATGTTCATCTGTAGGCTTTGAAACATTTTCAATTTCTATAGCATTGATTTGATTTCGAAACTTGCGATAAGATTGTAAAAAATATGGAATTTGTATAAAATCGCACACCGTTTGTGCAGAAATCTCAAACCAGAAACATAGTGATCAAGTATATTATATACTCGATGTATTGCTTTCCAAATTCAATTGCCACTCAATAAAACTGTATATCTTCATGAATTACAAGTGTTTTAGATATAAGAAATACAATATAAGACCAAGCTGAATGAAAATAGTTAATTGATTATACGACTAGTCGTTTTGATTGGTGATGAAGGTCAAATTTATGAGATTAACGTCGAATTCATCTGATTAGAGGCTTATTGTGATAAAGAAACTTTTATTAGTTATAAGAGTAATTTGTCACAAATTTTCCATGAAAATTAAGTTTTGAATCGATCAAAAAATTTCTAACCTACTTTCTCATTCCAACGTATTCTATTCCGAAGTTTATATTTGCAATATCTCATTTTCCAATTGTTCCAATGCAAGATAAAAGTTGTCTTTAAAATTCCGGATTGCTTGAGAAAGCACCTGCTCATCTACTGAGGATGCTCCTACATTTTGCCTTGGGGACATTAGTACATTTTGCCTTGGGGACATTAGTACATTTTGCGATGAACACGTTGACACATTTGGCGATGAACACGTTGACGAAATTTGATTTCTAGAGGATGACAATTTTTCCAATGAAGACTCTGTTAGATCTTTTAGAATGCAGAGGTTGTATGACTTTCCTTCTACTTCTTTGAACTTCTGTATTAGCACACCCTTTGGGTTCAAGAAAATCGGACGTTTATATTGTTGATCAACAATTTCTTTGAGCCGGTTCAAATGATTTTGATGAATATTATTCAAGCACCATGTGCACCAAGTACAAAATGGGATAGCGTAATTTCCCGGCAATTTGAGCCAATATGCTGTTTTCCTTTTCGTGCAACCTACACACTCCCTGTTCGCTTGGTTTTGGACATAATGACATTCGGAGTTATTGAAGTCGGTATATTTAAAGGAATTATAATGAGCTTTAAACACTACATCTGCAGAATAAGTCGATGTTCCTTGTTGGTTGTTGTGTCTTGGGAATTCCGACGAAGATGCATTAGACGCCATTTCTTCAGTAGAAGTTTGTATTGAGTATTTTATACGTGTTGATGCTGGTGGAATGATAATGTAACTTTATCCTATGTTTATTGAGTTGACTGAATTTTGACCAGGCCAGTTGTATTACTTTACAGAACTGTTTGACAGTGCACAATGAGAAAATCACTAAATAACATCAAACAACTAACTAATTACTAACTACTTTACTAAAATTATCTTTACTGACGAAGAATGAAAGTTGAACTATTGAATTGACTAGATAATCGCTTCTTTTTATGCTGAGCAATCTGAGCATTTTTGATCATTCTAGAATCACGAAAATTAGATAAGATAATGCATTGAGTCTGTAATAGTATAAAGCCAAGTTGCTGATAGTGATCGCATGTATATTAAAAGAAATTGAAGTGGAAAGCATCACGTGAAGAAATGCTAACATTCAATAATAACTCGTTAATATTTTCATCCAAGAACTAGATGAAAGAGGAATACACTGATACGATAATTATCATCCTAGAGAATGATTTGAAATTAAGATCTTAGTCTTCATTTAACGATTCATGATTGATGCTCACTAAAATAGACTGGCTGCTCTTTTCTGAATTGCAGTATTTGGTCATTAGATTACCAGCTAGTGGTTCACTTGGATTACTACTTTTATTGGACTTAACCTGGTCTTTTGGTGTCCTTTACATTTCCTTTCCTAGCTTCTTGACTGCTTCCCTTTTTACCGGCTTTAATGTGCTTCAAGGAGTTTACATTTTCACCTTTCAATGTTTGGTAAATGATAAAGTTAGAGGTGAATATGTTCGAGTTGTGTCTCGATGTCATTGGCTATCTTGGCTATGCTGTCAACTGTGTGCTCAATTTGACAGAGAAAAGGTTGCGTCTTCAAGTCCAGTATAAAGGTCAAATTTCTGTCAACCCTCCGTATCTTCTGGTTCTTGAGCTGGTGGCAGTATAATGCCTCAAGGAATACCAATATCTTGTCCCTATCCAGATACGTCATGTTATCCTGAATCAGAAAAACCAATGATTGGTCCTGAATCAGCTCAATTGCTATCCTCGGGACGCAAATCAACTGGTGTATCAGGATCGGGTTATGAAGAGATGAGTCGTCTTTATGACCATTCAATGGATACCGATTTAGAAATGGAAACTCGTGCATTGATGGAAGGATTATCACACTCGGATGCCACAACGGGACCGATGAGACCAATTATCATGAGAAGTGACGTTTCTCTGACTCGTATTCCGTGTGAACATTTGTATGAATGTATACCAGATGATTCCAACTATCACCATGTTCATGGGAACAATTTTTTACACTCAAGTGCTTTAACAGGCTCACCGAGTCAATTTCAGGGTTCCACTTATTCACAAAACTCTTACCATCAATATCACCAGCCATTATCATCTTCTCATCATAATCATCATTCAACTTTAAACTCTTAAACAACCCATCCAAATCATCATCACTCATCACATTATTCATCTCATCCCCATCATCATCATTCCCTTGCACCATCAGAATATCAAAAGCTCCACCTATTCATCAACAATAAACCTCAGTCTGCAGACAAACGATCACTGCTTCGTGATCAGTACAAGTACAATAATTTAAGTCCACCTTCATCATCATCTTTCTCTTCATCATCATCTTCATCAACTTGCAATCTTCCAACCACTCGACTTAATATTCCAGTTTCACCTCGATCGCCTCAAAGATCTCTAGGTTCTTCATCTTCACACAAGCCAAGTAAATCCAACAAATCTAAAACTGTGTTTGCCAAATTAAAAGGAAATCAAATTGTTAGCACAACTGGAGCAGTTAATGGTGACCATTGTTGACCGCTCAATCAATCAATTTTCCAGTAAACTCAAAATTTAAATGAATGTACATTTAATTTAAAATTTTTCTCTTTAAACCAAAACAATTTTCCAAATCAAGCTCGCTGGTCTTTTCGTTAAGCTCTTCAATGGATGATAATTCACATTCTCAATTGAAATGTTTTTTACACTCGGACCAGGCAAGACGACTTTCAACACCGATCAATTGCGATAAAAACGTTTCTGTCAAAATGGCTCAACAATTTTCTACAAAAAAATTATTAATGTAATTTTAAATTAATTGATAATTTAAAAATATCCAAATCTACTTCTTTTTGTCATCTAATTTTGTAAAATATATAAAAATGAAATTTGTTAACATAAAAGTCAATCCAAATAACAAGCTAATTGTAATGAAAAGCTCTGGTTTCACGAACTTTTTCACACAAAAGGTTTCATAAAATGCATAACTCTTCTAGAAGAGACTCATCAAACGTCTTGAATTTTGAACCTGAATAATACAATATGAACACAAAATAGACAATTTTATTTGTAAATGAACTTCGTTGGTCATGGAAATGGTTTCGATCAAGCTCTTTGGTTCCATCAAAATTGATTTTATCGAGTAAAAAGCATAAATCCTGTTTAAATTTCAATGAATTTACCGGGACCTTCATCATCATTAAACTGTGTGGTGGTATCAGACGGCTCATGATCATAGTTGTTTGATACAGGAACTAACGGTGTGACAGGTGGCTGGTCAAAATTAAATGGTGAACTAGGATTGTAATACGAAAATGGACTCATCATTATGAGCACTTGAGCATTGACAGCTCCGTCTTAATTTTATGGGTCACTTATTGAATTATAATGCAAATAATCACATAATTGAATGTATATGTAATAGATCAACGTTATTTTCACCAGACCTGATACTATCAGAATGAGATTGGTCATGGATAAACCATGAAACACTTGAAAAATGAAGTGTAATAGAAGCAAATAGCTGAGTAGTTTGATAACATCGATAGTTGCTAAAGAGACAACAGTTACTAAATCGCAAAATTATCAGTAAAAATTGAATAGTTACTTTATGGCAAATCATCAATCATTTAAAATCTGTTCTAATGTTCATTATTTAGTATTTCATGATTAATCACAGCTTGATACTAATTGAGTCTTATTTTGTTTGCATAAGCTCATCATGTTGATGATATGTTGAACAAATGTTGGTGCTTTCATATTGAGTTATTGTCTGATTTGATTCTTTGAAGGTAAAAATGTTTGCGATCTTGAAGTAAAGTCATTTGTAAAAGGGGTAAGGTTTTACTTTTACTGAGAAAGGCGTTAACATTAAAACATATGATTTTTGGGTTAGGTAAGTTAGATCAAGGGGCTGTTGGTTGGTCGGTCAGGTTAGGTTTGGTAAGGTTAGGGTGGGCTTAGGTCGGCCTGTGGCCTTAATTAGCTTCATTTAATTCAATTTTTCATAAAGAGCGCCCTTAAAAGACGTCTACCATTGGATGATTTTTAATGTTCACGCCTTTCTCCGTAAAAGTAAAACTTTACCGTAAAAGGTGCTTCAGTTTAGTTAAATTATGGAGACTTTAATTGCCTATGAAATTGCGATTTGCTATTTCATTGAATCTTCCAGAATTATGTTTCATTTTATCATTTTTGCAAAAAAAGAAAGTCGACTGCTTTCAGGCCGAGTTGAATAGGTAATGTTAAAGATTAAAGTTGAAAATGGAAAACATGAAAGAGAGTTGAGTCAGATTGGAACTGATTTAGATTCGTTTCTTTGACAGGCAAACCAAGTCTTTGAGAGTAAAAAGACAAGTTTCCTCTTCTTTCTTCTCTTTTCAGTCTAATTCAATTCTTACAGATGTTCCTAATGGTAAATACACATTTGATCATGAATCAAATAGTAATCGTCTTGGAATGAGAGTTGAACGTTAATTGAATATGTTGCGGAACCTGTGTGAATATGTTAAGGTAACATGTTTTCCATCACGAAAAGACAAGCAAGAATCAAAAACATCATATTCATATTATAAATTAATTACAGTAAACACGCACTTGTTTCGACAGAAAAAAGCTCACCATCCAATGAATACCGATTTAGGAGCAAGGAGCTTCAAGCTTCATCATCTTTATCTTTATCTGCATCTTCATCATGATCTTCCTCTTCATCATCACCGATTTAGAAATGGAAACTCGTGCATTGATGGAAGGATTAACACACTCGGATGCCACAACGAGACCAATGAGAGCAATTCATGAACAATAAACCTCAGTCTGCAGACAAACGATCACTGCTTGGTGATCAGTACAAGTAAAATGGTTTAAATCCACCTTCATCATCATCTTCCTCATCTGAATCGGTCTCTGCTGAATTGGATCCATCTGTAAGATTTTCAATGTCGTTTTCGTGATTATCATTTAGTTCATCTTCGAGCCTACTTGATTCGCTCCTTTGAAGATTTTTTATTCGATTGTATGATCTATACATGGTTCTTCCTTTTTCTCTAACCGCCGCATATGTTATTCTTTGGTTCATCTGGTCCAAGAAAATTGGTTTCTCATATTTTTCTTCAACAATTCGTAAAAGTTCTGATATATATTCTGAGTACTTGTAATTCAAGCACCAAGTACACCAAGTACAAAATGCAACCAAACAGCCACCAGTCAATATGAGGTAACGATTCGTTTTCTTCTTACCATAGCAGCAGCCAACACAAACCGTTGGTGTGACTTCTTCTTCGTGATATTTGAATCTACAATCATCAAAATCACTGTATATGTAAGAGTCACTTCTTTCAATCATTTCATGTGCTCGTCCATCAGCTTCTTCTGTTTCCATTCTATCGTCAATCCCATCAAGTGCGTCAACATTTCCATAAAATTCTCTTTTGTTTAGGTTGTTCGCCAGCTCGCTATTTTGTATTGCTGTTGAGTTGTCTACTTCTCTAGATATTCTCCGAAACACCGATAAATAGCTAGGTATTGCTGGGCGATATGGAGATACTGATGTTCCTTGACAAGGTGAAGTTACTTGTGTAGCTGGAAGAAGTGAAGATACTGATGTATTTGGATCTTGATTGGCGCTTGTTTCGTTTGTGTGATTAGGTGCACAGTCCGTGATGCTTGCCTTGTTGAATGAGCTGGAGGCTTTTTCATTCGTATTAAATGTAATTATCAGCTTATTTTCCGCATCGTACAGAATTGGAGTCTTGCAGTCGATTCTCTTTTTGAGTTGTTCCAAAAAGTCAATATATAAAGGTTCAATTTCATTCAAACGCCAAGCACACCAAAGACAAAGGGGTATAACGATTCCGTCACACAAATGCAGCCAACGTTTAGTTACCCCGCCAGCACAACCCGGACAGTTTAAAGAGCTTCGAACTCCAGGTAAATATCGGAATTTCTTTTTTTCTATCGTGAAATAGTCATGTAAATCTTTAGGACCATCATCTGACGAAGGTTGACTGATCGGTATTTCTCTAATAGTGCCCATTTGAGCTTTTTGCTATCAACAATGCTGATTTAACTTAGTTGAGTTGAGAAGTTAGTTGAGTCTTCACTGAATGAATTTCGTTCCAAATAAATTTGTAAAATAATTTTTATAGTAAAAATTTTGTTGAATAAATTTTAGTGTTACTTTTGAAACTTATTTGCACGTGGCCAATAGATACTTCAGCTTTAGACGGGTTAATACTGATCAATGCGATTCAGTAACTGACTGCGAATAACAAAAACACTGAACAATATTCCTTTTCAATGATAGATTGCAATTGAACTATCAAATTGACTGTTAAACACTTTTGTTTTGTATTAACTTTGGCTGAATATTCCTGATCGTTCTAGATCTTATTAAAGATCAGATAAGATTATTGTTTGAGACTGCCAGATTTGGTATTCTATCTAATAACAGAAATACAAAAAAATAGTAGAATAGTATCAAGAGGAAACGTCAGGTGATCATTTTTATTTGCAACACTACTTACTTGAATTTTGTACAAAGTTCATTTTTATGATCAACTTGCATTTAACCATCTTCATCAATTCTCAACAAGCTAGATGATTAAATGGACTTTGAACACCACTCAATCAATGTCTAAATTGAATGAGAGATAAATTATGTGATTGAAAGTCAAACTATTTCTCTATTAGCTTATTTTCAGCTGATAGAGCAATATTCAGAGTCAAGTTAATCGAAAAAGAGCCGGACTTAAATCACCGAGCTTAATATGATGAACTTTTACCGGCAATAATTGGAGACAATACTCTAACAGCTTACGAGTCGAATGGCCAAGATCAGCAAGAATCACAGAAGCCTCAAAACCAGAGTCACAAGGAGCTTCAAGCTTCATCATCATTATCTTTATCTGCATCTTCATCATAATCTTCCTCTTCATCATCACCGATTTAGAAATGGAAACTCGTGCATTGATGAAAGGATTAACACATTCGGATGCCATAACGAGACCAATGAGACCAATTTATGAACAATAAACCTCAGTCTGCAGACAAACGATCACTGCTTGGTGATCAGTACAAGTACAATAATTTAAGTCCACCTTCATCATCATCTTTCTCTTCATCATCATCTTCATCAACTTGCAATCTTCCAACCACTCGACTTAATATTCCAGTTTCACCTCGATCGCCTCAAAGATCTCTAGGTTCTTCATCTTTACACAAGCCAAGTAAATCAAACAAATCTAAAACTGTGTTTGCCAAATTAAAAGGAAATCAAATTGTTAGCACAGCGGGAGCAGTTAATGGTGACCATTGTTGAGCGCGCAGTCAATCAATTTTTCAGTAAACTCAAAATTTTAATGAATGTACATTTTTAAAATTTTTCATCCTCAAAGGGGCAACACGACTTTCTACACCGATCAATTGCGATAAAAACGTTTCTGTCAAAATGGCTCAACAATTTTCTACAAAAAAATTATTAATGTAATTTTAAATTAATTGATAATTTAAAAATAATATTTTTAAAATATCCAAATCTACTTCTTTTTGTCATCTAATTTTGTAAAATATATAAAAATGAAATTTGCTAACATAAAAGTCAATACAAATAACAAGCTAATTGTAATGAAAAGCTCTGGATTCACGAACTTTTTCACTCAAAAGGTTTCATTGAATGCATGACTCTTCTAGAGGAGACTCGTCAAAAGTCTTGAATTTTGAACCTGAATAATACAATATGAACACAAAATAGACAATTTTATTTGAAAATGAACTTCGTTGGTCCATGGAAATGGTTGATAAACTGTGGATACGACTTCGATTTTCGTCTCCTTTTGCGTCTTTTACAGGTTTTCATAAATGATGACACAACGGAAGATGATTGCTTGCTCGATGACATGTCACTTTGGATAATCTTTCTGGTTTGTTCGAGATGCTTTGATTTTTCGCTCGTTATTTCTTTCACGATATTGTTCTTGATAGGTGATTCACGAGTGTTACATTGTTTCTCTGCAAATACTGGGTGAACGTTTCTGAAATTAGATAATCTGAAATCGGTAACTGATTCTTCTAGCTGTTTCCAATTGATATCAGAATTTTCTGCTGATTTTAAGAAATCGAAACTAAATGCGTTTGTTAAAATCCTGTGAACACAAGAACATAACTTGTTTACCGTTGGTATTTTAAATTGGCCAAAACTTTTGTCATGCAAAAGGGCCAAAAATTTAACATTCTCAATCAAATGTTTTTTCACTTCTCCAATAAATCTTTTTACAGGTTCGACAATCAAATTGACTCTTGTTTTTGGCCAAATATCATGTTTGCGAAGGTAAGAATTGATCGTTTCAGCTTCTAATGGTCGGTAGTGATTATTTTCAAACAGATAGGTAGCAAAGTGCTTGCAAAAAGCATCCAGTAAATTATTAATTTCATGGTTAAACTTTTCTGGTATCACATCGCTTGACTCTAGATACTGTTTCAATATATCTTTAATATCAGTATTAGAAACACCAACTGATCTGAATGAATCTTTAACACAAATCCGTTCATAAACATCTAGAAGGTCTGTAAATGAATTGAACTTTTCGATGATTTTGATGTATGTGTGAGGACATTTGTAATGATGAAGTGCAAGCTTTTGCATGAAAGAATGCCAATGTTTATGATACTTTTTATGAGTACGAGCGAGAATTTCGTGATAATTCCTTTTTATCAGACAAAGCAAAGGTAAAGAAATTTCCAAATCTTCTGGGAACGAGCGTCTTTTATTCCTCTTGTCGGGTGATTGTTTTCTCGGGAATCGTCCATAGCGTAATATATCGCATTTTAAGTTTCGATCAAACTCTTTTGTTCCATCAAAATTGATTTTATCGAGCAAAAAGCATAAAAACTGTTTAAATTCCAATGAATTTACTGGCGGCTGGTAATTGACAAGATCTTGTGTTTCCAGAGTGTAATAAAGAAAAACAAAAATTTCCAATTGTCCATCGAAAAATGGCCCATAATATTCGACATTATCAGTTGTTGTGTTGGACAGGCGAAATTTCTCAACGTCTCTCGGGTCGGCACTTTTTTCTCTCAATTTATTCTTAATTGCCTCTTTTCCAAATTCAATAAACTGTTTGGTGGCGTCAACATAATGCTTTGGCACAAGACCCAATAAGAGCACATGACTTATCGGATCAGCGTAATGATTGTAAACTGAAAAGCTTATTCCATCAGTATTTTGATTAGAAATTTTGGCACTGTATTGTGATTTGCAGAAGAGCGACTCTTCATTCTGAAGGATATCAGCGATCGAGATCATTTTCTTTTTTTCAATGTCGGAATATTTAATGATTCGTTCATCTTCATCGGATAAACTGAAAGAGTTCTTTGCACAATTATCTTCAAAAATTACTTTGTAACAATGATAACGTGAGTCACTAGGCTCAAAGTCTTGAAAAGCTAATCCATTCGCGTATTGACCGTATTCGCTTTCGTCGACTTGAAACAAGGGAGGTTTTTCATATTCTGATCTTGGATAAAATTTTTCATCGTTTTTTGTAACCACAAACTTTATCGGTGTTGAACTTTTTCCTCTCGATGCATGTGAAGTTTCAACTTCTGGTTGGCGGCTTATAGTTCCATCTTCCTCTTCACTTTCAGAATCGTTATTAGAAGAACTTTCGTCGCTAGATTGTGAACTAGATTCGCTATTAGAACTGGTATTATCGTTATTTGAAGCACGATTTTGATGCTTTTCAATTTCAACTGGACTATCGGGACCTTCATCATCATTAAACTGTGTGTTGGTATCAGACGGCTCATGATCATAGTTGTTTGATACAGGAACTAACGGTGTGACAGGTGGCTGGTCAAAATTAAATGGTGAAGCAGGATTGTAATACGAAAATGGACTCGTCATTATGAGCACTTGAGCATTGACAGCTCCGTCTTACTTTTATGGGTCACTTATTGAATTATAATTTAAATAATCACATAATTGAATGTATACGTAATAGATCAACGTTATTTTCACCAGACCTGATACTATCAGAATGAGATTGAACATGGATAAACCATGAAACACTTGAGAAATGAAATGTAATAAAAGCAACTAGCTTAGTAGTTTGATAACATCGATAGTTGCTAAAGAGACAACAGTTAATAAATCGAAAAATTATCAGCATAAATTGAATAGTTACTTTATGGCAAATCATCAATCATGCAAAATCTGTTCTAATTTTCATTATTTAGTATTATTTCTGATTAATCACAGCTTGATACTAATTGAGTCTTACTTTGCTCGCATATGTTCATCATGCTGATGATATGTTGAACAAATGTTGATGCTTTCATATTGAGTTATTGTCTGATTTGATTACTAGAAGGTAAAAATGTTTGCGATCTTGAAGTAAAGTCATTTGTAAAAGGTGCTTCAGTTTAGTTGAATTACGGAAACTACAAGTGTTTATGAAATCGCAATTTGCTGTTTCATTGGATCTTCCAGAATAATGTTTCATTTTATCATTTTTGCAAAAAATGCAAGTCGACTGCTTTCAGGCCGAGTTGATTAGGTATGTTAAAGATTAAAGTTGAAGATGAAAAAACATGGAAGAGAGTTGGTCAGATTGAAACTGATAGAACTGACAATATCATTATGAAGCATATTGACATTTAGACTATCTCAGACATTTCGTTTATATACGTTTTTTTCAAGCAATGATGTTGAAGCGTTTTCAGGAGTTGAAAGACTGACAACTTTGTAATAGTCTAACTTGATTAAACAGTTTTTTAATGAGAATAAAATCAACTTTCGAATTCGTGAAAACTCAGTAACCAGTCAAGATTAAATCAACTAAATCTGTTCATATGAAACTCAACATTTTATTTCGATCTTCTTTTCAGACAATTCAATATGGAATTCATAAAACCACAAAATTATCAGCAATAATTAAAAGATTATTTTACATGGAAAATGATCGATCATTTAATCTGTTCTAATGTTTATTGTTTAGTCTTTCATGATTAATTACATTTTGACATCCATGAAGGCTTTTGTTTTGCTTTCATGAGTTTATCATGCTAATGATTAGCTGATCAAATGTTGTATTCATATTGAATTATTTTCTGATTTGATTTTTTAGAGGTAAAATGGATTCGATCTTCGAGTAAAGTCATTTGTAAAAGGTGCTTCAGTTGAATTATGAAAACGTTAAGTGCTTATGAAATTGTGATTTACTATTTTATTGGATCGTCCAGAATAATGTTTCATCTTATCATTTATGCAAAATAGCAAGTCGACTGCTTTGAGGCAAAGTTGAATAGATAATGTTAAAGATTAAAGTTGAAGATGAAAAAACATGGAAGAGAGTTGAGCAAGATTGAAACTGATAGAATTGACAATATCATTATAGTTGAATCATATTGACATTCCAGACAATCTCAGGCATTTCGTTTAGATTTGTTTCTTTGACAGGCAAACCAAGTCTTTGAGAGTAAAAAGACAAGTTTCCTTTTCTTTCCTTTTCTTTCTTCTCTTTTCAGTCTAATTCAATTCTTACAGATGTTCTTAATGGTAAATACACATTTGACCATGAATCCAATAGTAATCCTCTTGGAATGAGAGTTGATCATTGAATATATTGCGGAACCTGTGTGAATATTTTAAGGTAACATGTTTTCCATCACGCAAAAGGCTTGTACGAATAAGCAAGAATCAAAACGAAGATCTTGACTAATTTTATTTCGGTATAACACTAATGGTATTACATTGCTAATACTCTTGCGATTCTTCTGAATGCATTTCATCTGAATCGGTCTCTGCTGAATTGGATCCATCTGTAAGATTGTCATTGCCGTTTTCGTGATTATAATTTAGTCCATCTCCAAGCCTACTTGATTCTCTTTTTTGAAGATTCTTTATTCGATTGTATGATCTATGCATGGTTTTTCCTTTTTCTCTAATCGCCGCATATGTTATTCTTTGGTTCATCGGGTCCAAGAAAATTGGTTTTTCATATTTTTCTTCAACAATTCGTAAAAGTTCTGATATATATTCTGAGTACTTGTAATTCAAGCACCAAGTACACCAAGTACAAAATGCAACCAAACAGCCACCAGTCAATATGAGGTAACGCTTCGTTTTCTTCTTACCATAGCAGCAGCCAACACAAACCGTTGGTGTGACTTCTTCTTCGTGATATTTGAATCTACAATCATCAAAATCACTGTATCTGTAAGAGTCATTTCTTTCAATCATTTCATGTGCTCGTACATCAGCTTCTTCTGTTTCCATTCTATCGTCAATCCCATCAAGTGCGTCAACATTTCCATAAAATTCTCTTTTGTTTGAGTTGTTAAACTTTTTATTTTTGAAATTTGTGATTGCCGCCTTTATTTGATCCCAATCGATAGGCGTATTTCCGCGGGGACATAACACATTGAATGATAAAGCCTTTTCTAAAAGTCTCCGAATAGCGAGAGACAAATTTTCTGAAGGTATTTTGAATGTTTGGCAATTTTTTCTGTTGAGAAAAGCCAAAAACTTGACGTTCTCAAGCAATCGTTTTTTGAATGACTTCAAAACTTCACTTTCAGATTCAACGATTAAACCAAGATTCTTAATTGGACAATGCAACTCATTGAGATAACAATTTACAGTTGCTTTTTCTAATGGACGATTGTAATGATTTGTTTTGAACAAAAATTGAGCAAGATCGTAGATGAAAGCATTCAGTAAATCATTGATACTATGGTTAACGCTTGGTTTCATATTATTTTTGAAATTCGGATAAAGCCTGAAAACATCTCGAACATCCACATCTGTTTCGCTGTCAGAGTTGACACAATTCCGTTTATACACGTGTAAGTGATGAAATAAAAATTCATTGTACATGTGTAAAATTGCATTGTAGGTATGTGGACATCTGTAGTGATGAAGCCCAAGGGTTTTCATCAAATTGTGCCAGTGATCATGATATGCTGTGTCTGTATTATCCAAAATCTTTACGTAATATTTTTTGATCCAGAATAATAACGTTAAAGAAATTCCTTTTTCTTCTGTCAGTCTCATTCTACTAAATCTCCTCTCTAGAATTTCTGTTTGATCAAATTCAATATATTTATCGATTCTTTTTAAATCATTATCGTTTTCTTTATCGAGTTTATCAAACAAAAAGCTCAAAATCTGTTTGCACTTTTTCAAATCCGGTGTTGGCTCGAAGTTGACCAAATCTTGAGTTTCCAGAATGTAATAAAGTAAAACAAAAATCTCCAACTGTCCATCGAAAAAGGGCCCAAAATAGTTGTCACCTTTTTGACCAGTAATTTTCAGTAATTCACGAGATTCAGGCCTTTGGTCAAAACAACTTATTCCGCCTTCAATCAAGCTTGTTACAACTGATTCTATCCTAGATTGCCCGAAGTATTTTGCGGCATCTACATAGCGTTCTGGAACAAGACCCAATAAAAGGACATGTTTTTGCGGATCAGAATAGTGATTAGTAACGGGAAAACTTATTCCAGTTGCTTGGTCATTCGACATCTCAGCAATCTGTTTCAGCAATTCAGACTTTAATTTGCAAAAAAGCGGCAAATCGATGATTTCAGCAATTGGTTTCATTTCATCATTGGAGTCGTCATTATAATAAATGTATCGTTGGTCATCGTCTAAATTGTAATGAATACTCGAATTGTGTCCTCTAAAACCATAGAAAATTACTCGAATGCTTTTGAACCTTTTGTTGCAAGGGTATTTTAATTTCTCGCATTGAAGTTTAGTTTTTTTCACCCAGTTTTGTATTTCGCTCCAATCATCTGGCATTATTGGCAACTCTGTAGGAACAATAAAATCCTCATCCTTTTTTTTAACAACACATTTTGGTTTATAGTTGAGTACACTTTCATCATAAAATATTTCAGGTTGATTTAAGTCGTACCTTATAGGTGATGCATGACTTCGAGGCGTTTCAAAAGGATAATTACCGCTTGTAGACGTTTCTCCACGATACATAGTGAAAGTTGGCTGATTTTTGTTGGTTTGTTAAAAGAGGTGTTGATCACTGTAAATCAATCCACTTTATTGTTGTATTGATTGCCTGAAAAGGTGATTCGATCTTGATCAGCAAGTCGATAAGTATGACCAGTCCAATTCAGTTATGGCACTTTATTAGTATTTTCTGGTTGGAAAACTACAACTGTAAATGCAACTCTTTGTGGCAAATGTGATCTAACATGAAATCTCGGCACTTATTATCGATGTTTAAAACCGATAAACTAAGTAACAATGTTATTTTCACCAGAACTGATAGTATCAGAATGAGATTGATCATTGAAACCATGAAACACTTGAAAAATGAAGAGTAATAAAAGCAACAAGCTGAGTAGTTTGATAGCATCGATAGTTGATAAAGAAACAACAGTTACTAAATCGCAAAGTTATCAGCAACAATTAAAACGCTATTTCATTGGTAAAATCATCAATCATTTAAATCTGTTCTAATGTACATTATTCAGTATTTCATGGTTAATAACAGTTTGATACTCATTGAGTCTTACTTTACTCGCATATGTTCATCATTGATGATATGTTGAACAAATGTTGATGCATTCATATTGAGTTATTGACTGATTTTATTATTAGAAGGTAAAAATGTTTGCGATCTTCGGGTAAAGTCATTTGTAAAAGGTGCTTCAGTTTTATTCAATTTTTTGAAATAAGTACTTATGAAATTGGGATTTATTATTGTATTGGATCGTCCAGAATAATGTTTCATATTATCATTTATGCAAAAAGCAAGTCGATTGCTTTGAGGCAAAGTTGAATAGATAATGTTAAAGATTAAAGTTGAGAAAAACATGGAAGAGAGTTGAGCAAGATTGAAACTGATAGAACTGACAATATCATTATGGTTGAATCATATTGACATTCAGACTATCTCAGACATTTCGTTTAGATTCGTTTTTTTCAAGCAATGAATTTTGAATTCAAGCAGAAACAGTTATTAAGTGCTCATTTCAACTGAAAAAACGAGTTCTTGCTTCGTTCTTGACTACTTAGTTCTATCTTGTCTGAAAATTGAAATATAAAAATGCAAGTTTCAATCAATTTATTCTTGTTCGATCCTTTTTCTTGATTGATTTCATCGTCTTTATTCATTTCAATTTTTGCATAAAAATACACAGTTGGAAGAGCCATCTATTGTAGAAAAGGTTATTCATCTCTCAGAAATAGAAATGTTAATTGTTGACTTAGCTGATAGATGGTGACTCAAGCTTGGTAACTGCATTGAGTAAATCTAACAAATTTGATCCTGATTAGTTTTTAACTACACTAGGGCTAGAGCTCTGATACCAATAGATGGGTCTGATTTTTGGTCAAAATAAGTGTGAATTAACTAAATTATAATATTTAAACATTTGTGTCATCTTTTCAAATCAAATCAAATTGGACCTGAAAAGATTTCTATATTTTAGGATAGATTCTAGGATTGGATCGTTTGGTGAAACTCCGATTCAGAGGCTTTGATCGATCCAAAACGATTCTTTTTCAAAATTTGTTCTGTGTCTGGATAGCTCTGTACTAACCTTGAGTTTTGTTTTATGTGCTGATTCATTTTTTTCAATTGCTTGAATGATACATTAAATTGTCGAAATTGAAATCCATGATAAAACACAATGAACATAATAGTTCTTCTTCATTTCCATTTTTTCTGTATTCATAATTTTCTTTCTCTCTTTAAACACCACCACAATTCATTTTGTGTTCACTTTTGTATTCAATATCATACCTCTTCCCTGTTATCTCTTGAGAACATGGAATGAGTAGGAAAAAAGTTGGGAGAAAAAATGATCATTGAAAGAATGGAAACAACACTTTCAATGGAATGAACAATTCCAAGAAGCTAATAATGAAATCCAAGAATCAAAGATAATGTCATATTAACTGAGAATCAATTTTTGCCTTTGCTCATTTTGCTTTCAATTTCAAGAGAACAGATTATTTAAAGATTAAATGAATCTGTGCTTCCAATTGGGCAACATATTTGTGCTCACAAGACAAACTATAAATGATACAACAACAAACAGAATCATCATGATTAATTTTAGCATCTAATATTTTTCATCTTCCCTGTATGAGCCGAGAGCAAAACAATACAAGTGGAAATGTTTTTCCCTGCATTTTTGCTCCTCTTTTCCCTCAGTTGATCTAATTGTTTCCTTGTTTTTGTTCATTTCTGTTTTTCATTGTCTTGTCTTTTCTTTGCAACTTGAGATTTCACTTGTCATCACATTCATAATGTTATCCGACCCAAATACGTTTCATGGCCCACAATTGAACTTCAACTTTAATCGACTCTTGACTTAACTTTTCACAAAGTGGTTATTTGATAGTAAATAAATATTACAAATTTCACAAAGAATAAGATAACAATGAAATAAAAAGTTGGATAGCATTTCAAAATGTTTGTTCATTTCATGAAGAAAAACATTCGAAGTAATCTGTAACCAACAATCGACTCTTGAAATTTTCCAGTTTTTTCAAGTTTTTTTTCAAGTTATCAGTTTATCTTCAACCTTACCTTCGACGTGGAGGTCGCTTGCCTGGCAAGTGTTGCTTGAGCTTCGATATCGAAAGTTATCAGACAGATGAATGTGTAACATGTTAGATCGATGATGAGGATGAGGGTTTGGTACAAGCACTTTTTCGTACTTTCAATTTTGGATTTATTCCAATGTCAAGAGACCGACATTTACATTTAAACAAATCGAACCTGAAAACATCTTATATTGATGAAGATTCAAGTTTCAATTTACATTTTCATTTCATTGTAAACTTTCATTGTTTGTTTGTTTTGTTTGATGAAGATGAATTTTAATTCTCTCCTCTATTGGAAATAATAATTTGAAATTATCAACCTTTATCAAATTCCCTCTTCAAGAAACGTTATAAATAAAAGATTAAAGTTGTGAATCGTAAATTGCAAGGCGCCTGAGAAAATATCAAGATTGAAATTTTCAAGTTTACCATCGAATCGTGGAGGAAACATGAAATCTTCAGAAATCAATCTTTAAAATTATTGGAAGCGACTTAGAATCGGCCTTGAAAAAGTATAAAAATGTGAGAATGTTGAAAAGCCATGAAAAATCAAATTCATATTTCTGTTGTTTGAAAAAGAATTTTTAGAAATTTTTGGTGAAATGAATTTTATCAGTCAGTCTTGAGCACATTTTCTAGGAAAAGGCTGTTAAACATTTATAATAATCTCGAATAATGAAATTTCAACACGATGATAGAAGAAATGAAATTTTGATGGAAAATGAGTTTTCATTAGAAAATTATTCAACGGATTAAATGGTAAAAATAAAAAATCAAACTACGAAACAAGTTTAATGCTATTTAACCAAATCAGTCAACGTAAATGGTTCTAAAATGTAGCATTTTGTTTCTTTTTGCTTCTTACCTTTTCATCTTTTCCATGAGTTTAAATGATGGGAAGAGATTATTCTAATAATGTTCCATCCTGGTTTCATCTTAAAAATATTTACCTTGAATCTTTTCGTAGCTGCCATTTACATCAATTTTATTTAAATTTAATCCACAGCTTCTTTAACCACATCAGCTTTGATTTCACTCCCAGCAATCGTTTATTTGAATAACATTTGAATTTCGTTTATTATTTTCTTACCTTTAAGTTTTTATTGAACAATCAATCTGACAATTAAAAGATTATTCATTTGCTTTATTTCGTCTCTTCATTTTCATGACTCTATCTTCATGGTTAGAGTTCAATTTTTCAACAATTTAGAGTTTCTTTTAGAAAGAAAGAAAATTTTACAGAATTTTTTGTTTTACAATTGGCTCAGTTGCTTAAATTTTGGTCAATCAAAGCAACCGAACTTCGAATGTTTTTCTCATTTGATTCAACCTTTTCCAAATGATCGCCGGAAAGCTTCACTTGAAGTCCATTGAGATTGGGTGAACCCACACTGGGCACACTAGTCAATGGACTGTGCCCATTACTACCAGTTGCAGGGCCAGTTGGATGAGCTCGAACAGAGGTTCGCAGTACAATGGTTGTTGTACGAAATGAGCTGCCCATGGAATTGTCACCACCAGAGATTGGATGGAAGCCATGGTGTGTTGTCCTTCGATAGTAGGGAAGGCAAGAACAGGTGCGAGCCAAACCTGCCAGATCAGTCTGCAATTGCAAGAGGTATTCATTCATTTTTGTTTATCTTCATCATTATCATCACTCAGTATTGTACTCTTCTCGCATTAGTAAACCATTCAATCTGTAAGAATGGCAAATCAGCAATCAGGGAATCAGGAATAATGTTAATCACAAGAGAAGAAAGAAAGCGGGATTCGAATTTTAACTTTAGCTTCTTAGTTATCGACTAAGTTTTTGCTTCAAATTTGCAATAAAAAGCTGCTCAGACTTTGACTTAAGACGGACATAAATATCAAGGTAAACATAAAACACAAAACAAGTTTACAAAGTTATACAATATTTTCAATTATAGCAAAAGATTGAATGTACCTTCTGGTCAACAATGATATTTGATGTGATAGTGTGAGTTTCAATGGTGTTTTATGAATCAGCTCACTTCATGCTTCTTCATTTCTCATTGAGCTCATGCATCCGCATCAAGTTGTGATTAAAAGTGATAAAAGTTAAACTGACCTAAGAGGCAAAATGGGCCTTTGATATTTTTCATGTTTTCTGGAGTAAAAAAAACAATTCGCACAATTTGGTGCAAACATTTTACATTGTGATTATGTTTCGATTTGTGAAAGTAAACTTTCTCATTGGATCAACGCTTTTAGCATATCGACTTCAGGCTTGTGTGATTATGTCAAGAAAGTGATTTACAAAAAGAGTTACTTAAAGCAAGATGATAACCATAAGGCTTGGAAAAGTTTTCAAGTTTCTTCTTCTTTGCATTTCGATGAACCTTACAGGTGGACAAGTTGTGTTAACAAGTTTTGATTAGTAACTTTGTACAAAAATGTGTAACAATGTGTGTTGGGTGAAGCGTGCTGTTCAGCGGCACCAGTTAAGTGCTTACGTGTTTGAATGTGCTTATAAAATGCAGACATTTTCCCATCAAATGCAAGTATCAAAAAGTTGGAAAATAGCAAAAGCATTTGGCAAACATTGAGTGATACTTGTGGTTCCATTTCAAAAGCACAATCAAGTTGATCAGCTCCATGAATCTTGTTATCTCTCTCTCTCTCTCACTCGGCAACTTCATGATCATCATCATGGAGTTGATGTGAAACTCTATCTCTCTGTGAAACATTTCAGAACAATCGAGTGTTTATTATTGTACTGTCATGCTTTCGCTCAGCAAAATGTATAAGTTTAACCATAGTTACCCGGAAATTATCACTCATGAAACAATAGATGATTGGATTAAGAAATGAATTTGCCATGGCAAGCCAGTGGCAGAGAAAGAAAAGGCCATTGTGAAGATAGATTCCAATCTGAGTATCGGGATCAAAGATGTAGATTTCGAACCAGTAAAGTATGTTAAACAGTTGCAATGGAAGCCAACAGAGTGCAAAAAGTATCACAACAACAGCTAACATTTTGATTACCTGGAAAAAGGGTTGGAAAGAAAAGCAAAACTTGTTGATCGAAAAGTGAACAAAAATGTTATTAATAGTTTATTGAATTTTCATTGCCATCAATAAAGTTTACTTCAATTGATTCCTTATCAAACCTCAGCTAATTGTTGTTAAATTACCAGCACTTTGTTTGGTACCAGCAAAGGTAATTCAATGTCAATAAATTTCCCAATTCTCGTTACTTTTCTCATTATCTCAACATGATGATAATACATTTATTGTGTTTACAGAAGAAGGAGAGAAAAAGGGATTTTCTCATTGAATTGCTATGAAATGGTAGATAAATGGCAATCTTGTTGTTCACTTTATTGTAATCATAAACTTTACTGACGATTTCATATCCAGTCAATGATATTTTCAGATTGACTGAGCAAAAGGTTTCATTGATCATTTATTGACAATGAAATTGACTAAATTTTTCTTCTCTTGTTTTACCTTCATTTTTGCCTCGAGCTGAGCTTCGTCTCGTGCTGCATTTGCATTCCCTGGCGATGTGTGGTTCAACATTTTCCAAGCAATGCAGGTATATGTGTACACTAGAATGATCATGGGCAGGACAAAGGTAATTACAAAAATAATCATTGTATAAGTTCGCTCGGCTACCGGTGAAGGCCAGACTTCTCGACAAATGTAAATGGTTTCATTTCCAGAAAATTCTTCGACTGCTTTACCATGGATCAGTTGAGTGCTTGATGCAGTCAAAGCTAAAAACCAGATTAAACCAACAGTCAGTTTACCTCTCGCTTTGGTCCAGTTTGTTGAGCTAAATGGATTCATAATGGCACAATATCTAGAGAACGAGAAATGTAACAAGAAATGTATAAGTTTGAAGAACTGGAAAAATGCGAAAAAATGAAAAACACAATTTTCTTGTAACAAAAGATATTTTTACAGTTCATCAATTCAGTGTAATGGCTAGAGGTTGTGAGTTTCAAATCCCAATTGTTTTCTCACTGGGAATGAATAATTTACTGTTTTGCTCAACAATTATGATTGTATATTTGAAAGTGTTGAAACCATTTGTTTACATGATAAATTGATCAGAATAGTTAATGGAATGGAAGAGAGAAAAACTTTTTCAGAATCAAACATTCATCATTCAATGTACTTTCATAATTTGTTTTGCAAAACAATCACAATAATAGTCTCGGTTCATTTGAACTTGAACTTTACCAAAATAAAACTTGCAATAATCTTTACTCTAACCTCAAAACTTAGTTGGAATCAAAAGCGATTATCTTTTTTCGAATTTCAATAAACTACAGAAAACTTTGAGCAGAAACATTGTGTTACAATTTCTTCTCTCGAACAAATCAAATTTAAATTCTCAGTCGACTTGTGTTCAAAAATCAAACTTGTCTAAACCCATCAACTGAATCAACCTTTAAAGTGATTCAGTTGAAAAAGCGATTCAAAAGTCATGTCTTTGATAATGAGCTGAAAATTGAATTTAGAGGAAAAAACCAACAGAATTTCCGAATTTCAATTTTGCAGCTTTCAATTGGCGAGATGAAAGAGAAATATAAATATCAAAATGTTTCGAACCTGAATTTGATCAACAACAGAAAAAGGAATTCATTTCATTCAGTTGGACCTTTTGCTGCCTTTATCCACTCTTGATGAGGAACAATTTTTGATCATTATTATGTAAATTGTGAAAAAAATAAGTTGAGCGTAAACTTGGTTTACCAATGCAACTGTTATGTTACAAGAAACTGTCAAATACAGCTACACTTTTTTTACTTTACTTGTCCATTCAACTATTACAAACACGTAAAATGCTCTTCCGTTGATCTATTGTATCTATTGAGTTTCATATTCAATTTACATTCAAAGATGGAGATTATTCCATCACAGGAAAAGAAGGGAATAAAGTTATCAAATTTTAATGCCGATTGTTGATATTCACAAGAATGAAAAGTGTAGTTCGAGTTTCGCCTCAAGAAATTCATTATGAGATTGTTTTGTTTCAAGAATAGAAAAGGTATTATATCATCATCAATAGTGAAAAGTAAAGTCATTAAAAAAGATTGAAATAATAAATGGTTTATCAAGAATCTCATCATTTTTTTTGTTCTTTATTCATTTTTCTCTTTTGAACTTCTTTTCTTCCACCTTTCATTGCTTTCATTTCATCATTTCAATTGAACTTTGATAAACACACTTTCCACTGAAGAGTAAAGAGTAAAGAGGAAAGAAAGGAAAATTATTTATTCATTTTTTCATGTCATTTGCGCACTAAAAAACCACCATAAACTCATCGCATGGAGTAACAATTTTGAAATGAAAGTAAATACAGAACGGTTGATTGATTTGGTGAAAAGAGAGGCGAGCTTTACTTCACTGGAAAAATGTTGATTTGTTGAAAAAATGTTTGGGTTTTATGGTTCAATTGACTAAATAATCCTATCTGATATATTATCATCTAATTATCAACTTTATTTAGGTTATCCATTCAAGTCAACCTGACATTGGATGTTGAAGCGTTTTCAGGAGTTGAAAGACTGACAACTTTGTAATAGTCTAACTTGATTAAACAGTTTTTTAATGAGAATAAAATCAACTTTCGAATTCGTGAAAACTCATTAATCAGTCAAGATTAAATCAACTAAATCTGTTCATATGAAAATCAACATTTTATTTCGATTTTCTTTTCAGAAAATTCAATATGGAATTCATAAAACCACAAAATTATCAGCAATAATTAAAAGATTATTTTACATGGAAAATGATCGATCATTTAATCTGTTCTAATGTTCATTGTTTAGTCTTTCATGATTAATTACATTTTGACATCCATGAAGGCTTTTGTTTTGCTTTCATGAGTTTATCATGCTAATGATTAGTTGATCAAATGTTGAATTATTTTCTGATTTGATTTTTTAGAGATAAAAATGGATTCGATCTTCGAGTAAAGTCATTTGTAAAAGGTGCTTCAGTTAAATTATGACAACGTTAAGTGCTTATGAAATTGGGATTTATTATTGTATTGGATCGTCCACAATAATGTTTCATCTTATCATTTATGCAAAAAAGCAAGTCGACTGCTTTGAGGCAAAGTTGAATAGATAATGTTAAAGATTAAAGTTGAGAAAAACATGGAAGAGAATTGAGCAAGATTGAAACTGATAGAACTGACAATATCATTATAGTTGAATCATATTGACATTCCAGACAATCTCAGGCATTTCGTTTAGATTTGTTTCTTTGACAGGCAAACCAAGTCTTTGAGAGTAAAAAGACAAGTTTCCTTTTCTTTCCTTTTCTTTCTTCTCTTTTCAGTCTAATTCAATTCTTACAGATGTTCTTAATGGTAAATACACATTTGACCATGAATCCAATAGTAATCGTCTTGGAATAAAAGTTGTACGATAATCAGTGAGAATGAAATGATGAAACGGAAAAATGATGATCCATTTGATGATATCAAATTGGTTAGATTAAGGGAAAGGAACAAAAAGGTAATCTCAAGGTATTCCTATGATAAACGTAATGACATTCAGATCAGGGAGAGAATCGTCTAATAACAAAACTTTTCTTTGTTGATTGCAATTCGATCGTAACCTCATGTTTCCTGAAAATTTGAAAGCTCTCCTCAGAAAATGTTAAGTTGAACAAGAATAATTTACAATCAATTCACATGGTAAACTTGTGCAAAGTAATGCACAATCAGTGTACGGAAAGAACAAGTTACAAGCTTATGAATAAAATCGTTCAAAGGCCAACCAAAAAAGAAAAATTCTTTCATTTGTTTCTCCACTGTTCGTTTTACCAAACATTCGGTAACATTGATTTAGTTTTGTTCATGTCCCCATGAATAGCTAACGAAGTGTTATCTATCTTATAACGGTTATTCAAGATTCAAAACAGAGCAAACAATCGAAGTTGGAAAATTTCTAAATTCAAAGAAGAACTGAAATCATTGAGATCGAGTCACGATTTTGGTCAACTATACTTGATTATCTAATGACAGGTCAACAAATTTTTGGTGGTTCATCAAGCGAATCGCTGTTTGACAAGATGAGGATTGACCTTGAGTAACCTTGGTAATGATAAAATCGATGGATTTATAATTCGTCAAATTTCCATGTTATTCTGCAACAGTGATTATGTTCGTGATTAAAATATGTACTTCTACTGAATTGCCCTGGAAACTTTATTTTAAATGTTCATTCGATATGAATGGATTGAACTTGCATGATAAACAAATAAAAGGCTAAATAAAGAAGAAATGTTTGCATTCATTTCTTTGTGATTCCATTTTTATTTGAATTTAACCATTTAATAGCAAATTAACCACACAAAAAGGGATAAACTGAATTAGAGGGAAAATAGTGTTTTTTTATTTTCTCCATTCAAATATTTATTCTAAATTGGAATAGAATCAAAGGGGAACCTTTCATTAGCAGGCAACTATTCAATTCTATTCAGTGTCACAGATTTGTTTTATTATTATTTGGATGTACTTTTTTCTGCATTCAATTGTCAGCATAAAGTTACCCTCAACTTGGTAAAGATGAGGAGAGGAAAGAAGAGACAAAAAAAGAAGCAAAAGAACAAAAAAAGAGCAGAAAAAGTAAAATTTGAAAAGAAGAATAATCTTGGTATTATTATTTAGCCAAGCAACATTGAAGAGTATTAACACTCTTTAATCAAGCTTGAAATTAACATGATGAGGTACCGAGAAACTCCGGGGAAGTTCATGAAAATTCATGAGATGTAACAGATAGCAATGCAAAATTGGCGACCACAAAAACGAAAAGAAATTAATTTCTTTTTTTATGTCACTTTTTTTCTTCTTTATTTGCTTTCTTCGTTCAATTTGTTTCTTTTTCGTTCGCCAATGAATTGACCAAAATAAAATGCAATCCATTTCATTATTAATCAATGTAACAATTTAATTACATCACTGTGCGTTAGTCATTAATTGTGATGATAAATCATCTAATTGCTTTTAATGAGGTTCATTTACACTCATTTAATGACTCGGGTCTGCTTTCAATAACATTTACAGAAACATTGGTCGAATTTATCTTTCACTTTCAGCCGTATAATTCTGATTGTAAACATCGGCAAATCACAGAAAAGGTAGCTTGTACTTAGTATTTGAACTGTATACTTCTGAAAATTGAAGGAAAATGTTTCTAAGTTTCAAGGTCATTTAACTCTTCGCTCATTTGACCTCCGAACGACTTCTGAAAGTCATTTCCAAAGAGCTCACATTTCTCACATGTAATTTGTTGGCTATTAAAAGTCTACAATCTTTTCTCAAAAGCTACACAGGTTTCTTTGCATGGTTACTCAGAAAAAAAGATTATCTCAACAAATGACCTTCAAATCTCATACAAAAGGTCAAATAGCTGTTTGCCCTCGGATGACCTTGAAACTGTGTTATTGTTTGAACTCTGCTGAGTAGCGAGCAATTTCCTTGGTTCGAATATTGATTCTGAAAAATTTGGTATTCAGATGAGAAGATGTTTTGTTTATCTGGCCGTTGGATCATCAAGACAATAGACGCTGGTGAAAAGAAAGACCAACATTCTTGATTGACCATTGCCCATCTAATAACCGTTCACAATTGGTGTGCAGTATCACTTGCTGGAATAATTGGTACATTCTTTTTTGAAAAGCTTATTGGCCAATTTGAGTACCAAAAAATGATAGATCTTGAATTTAGTTCAGCTCTTAGACAATATGGTGGCCCAGATAACTTCTGGTTTCAACAGAATGGAGAGCCCATATGTCTATTTATTCGCTCGAACTGCTACAAGTTTATTACAATAATAGAAT